TGTGCAATAGCTGCTGCCTGAGCTTTGTGAGAATAGACTGTGCTTTTCCCTCCCTCCCTCTGTGCAGCAGAACTAAATGAACCATACAGGAATTGAACCTATAACCTTGGCCTCATTAATTTACCTTCTGTAAAATTGCCCTCTGTAAATTTGTGTTCTGCTGTAATGAGATAATGAGTGTGATTTCATTCATTCAGTAAATAGTCCCAACATTGGGCAAGTGGCAGAGCACATGCCGCAGACAAGGCTTCTGCCCTCAGGGGTTCGGAGCTGTGTACAGGTCACTGAAGCAAGGGCAGCACTGGCGTCCGCTCAAGGAGAGGGGCTCCCAAAATGCCCAGAGGTTGGGAGAAGCGAGCACAGCAGGACTCCTTAAGGGTGATGGGGTTTCCGGAACTGGAAGGGAAGGGACAGGTGTTCACTCATGGAGGTGTTTACTAGTTACACCTGAAGTCTCTGAACATGAGGCTCATACAATCAGAACTCTTCTGAAGTACAGTCAGAAATTATGTAAGCTTGCAAAGCTGAACAGATGGGATTGGTTGGCCGAGGAGAGAGTGCAGTACTTCCCTTACCAGTAATTTTTCCTGCTGGGGGTTCCGTTACCTGTGGTATGAAGAGATGAAATGGAAAATTGTAAAACTAAGCAACCCCTATGTTGTTAAAAAAAAAAAAGCTTGCTAGTCTGAGTAGCATGATGAACTCCATCCTGCCTCGGGCGTCCATGAGTCCGTCTCTCCATCATATACATGGTATTCTCTACACTTCTGTCCATAGCATTGTAGCTAATTCCTTTATCAGGTCATCTGCTGTGTTATCTCAGTGCTGTGTTCAGGTATTTTACTTAGTAATGTCCCCAAAGCACAAGAAAAAAGATGCAAATGAGGCACCAGGCACAAAGCATGGCAGCTCTAGCGGGTATATGATAATTTGCTCTCCATGGAGGGCCTTGGATGACAGGAGTCCATCATACTGGGTTTGAACCTGGAGCCTTACTATCAGATGGCAGGGCCTTTCTAGAACACTTTCTAGGGCCCTTCTGGCAAAGAGAAGTTTGTTTAGGAAGCTAATGGAGGAGGTTATGGAGAAGACGGACAACCAGAAGTAGGAACGGGGTTAGGACAGAGAAGGTGGAGCTGTAAAGGTTTGGGGAGGCTTTCACAAGCACGTCCTTCAAAGCTGAGTGAGTAGAGTGCAGAGTGAGGAAGAACCTGGCCAGAGGTAGAATTACTGGGAGGAGCCTGAGGGAAAAGGGCGGCAGGCAGGGCTGAGGAGGAGCACAGTGCATGGGTAGAGACACAGACAGGCAATCCGTGACCTGCCGTTGAAAGATGTCAGTGAACACAAGGGATGAGGAGCTGATGTCGTTGGAATGTAACACATTTATGGTTTTAATCTGGATTTCACAACACATCTGCTTTATGCTAGACTTTCTCGGATGTCTCAGTTTGATCCGGCTCTGTAGTTGCTACTCTCAGACAGTTAAATACAAACCACATCTCTGTAGCAGGGCCTTGGTCCTGAGGGCCTTGTAGGCTCCTTGTGAATGTCACCACATCTGTTGACTCCTATGCTCAGGTGTCTATTAGGCAATGTGTTAGTCCACCTTCTATCATGGTAGCAACGTATGTGAGACTCCACTTAAAAGAAGAAAATGGTAGATTTGTGTTCACAGTGTGAAAGGTTACCGTGAATCAGAGCAAGAGTTCATGGCAGAGGAAGACTGATCATCTCTTGGTGGCCAGGAAACAGAGAGAGAGAGAGAGAGAGAAAGGGAGTGGGACAAGAGGAGGAGGAGGAGGAGGAGGAGGAGGGGTCTTAATAGCCCCTTGAAGGGTACATCCCGGGGACCTGAGTTCCTCCCCTGAGTCTCTACCTCCAAAGGCTTTGATCACCTCTGAGTAGAGCTACCAGTTATGAATCAAACCTTCAATTCATGGGCTTTGGTAGCAGGATCCAAAGCAGAACAAATGCTGCACCAGGCACTGGGGCATACACACAAGGAGCACAGCTGAACACCTGGCCTGTGCTGAGTTTACTCCCTTGTATCCATGAGAAACAATAATCAGACTGAAGAAGATAGGCTGTGCGCACTGCTGATAGTTTTTCTGTATCTAGGTAAAGAGCGGTCTGTGAGCCAGCAGGAAGGCTCTAATGTGGGATGAGGCCTGGTGTGTTTGACGGCCACCAAGGAGCTCAATGGTGCTCAAGAGAAGGAGGCAAGGACAGAGGTTGGGGAAGACCCAGAGGCCCAACTCTAAGCCTGAGGAAAACCCTTGGATGGTTATGAGCCACAGGAATGAGTGACGGAAGGTCACTCTGGCTAGAGTGATGAGAGGGAAGATCAGCTAGGAGGCCTCTGCAGAGTCCCGTGAAGGAGGCGTTGACAGCTTGGACAAGCCGTGGTCCCAGAGGGGGTGGTGAGGGTGACCCAAAACGGAGTGTCTGCAAAGGGGGACTGAGGACAGCCTGGCAGGTGGAGTATGCCCCGTAAGAGAGGAGTAGGAGATGAGTCCAGGGATTTTAGCCTGTGCACCAAGAAAGAGTTTCTGGATTTGTTTTCAGTGCTGCTGTAACAGGTCAGCATACTCTGAATGACTCAAACGACAGGAATTCATTATCTCATAATTTTCAAAGCTAGAAGTCCAAGATCACGATCAAGGTGCTGGCTGGGTTAGTTACTCCTGAGGTCTGAGCTGGAAAATCCTCCCCTCTGCTGCTGTTTTGGAAATTCTTTGGCCTCTAGGTGCATTCCTCCTCCCCCACCCCGCCACGTCCCCCCAGTCTGCCCTATCCAAACATGGTGATCTCCTTATGTGGGTTCGTGGGTTCGGGTCTCCCCTTTAGAACAAGATGCTAGTCACACACCACACTCTGGTATGACCTTGTTGAATGCATGGTCAAGCTCTAGTCTCAAGTACAATCACGTTATGAGGCACGTAGGGGTTAGGACTGCAGCCCCCGAGTTTGGGGGGACACAGTTCAATCCCTACTAGTTACCATTAACCAATGAAGAGGCCAGAAAGATCAGCAGACATGCATGAAGTTCTGAGACTTGATGACATTGAGGTATTAGACACCTAGATGGAGGTATCAAGTAAGCTGAAGAAGCGGTCTGGAGCTCTGGAGTGGAGATAAACATCGAGATGGCCCCCAATATTGGTGATCCTTAAAAACCGAGAAACTCGGTGAGATCACCCAGAAGGTAGGTCTGGGTCAGAAATGGGTAGAGTTCCAAAGATAGAAACTAAGAGGCCTGGGAAGTATGGGAACAAGACCAAGGCCCACAGGAAAGAAAAAAACATTCAATAAAACCCCACATGTGCAGGTTGGTGTGAGAGGGCAATTGCATCCAAATGGTGATTTGTCGTGGTATTCTAAATGTTTACACGTTCGTGGTGTTTCTCCATGAAGTGTGCAGCGAGCTGGCTGGAGCTTGGATCAAGCTTTCCTGGCTGGTATGAGCAGAAGCCTCTGGGACTGGAATGGAATGTTTTGAATGCCATAAAGAAGTCAAAGGACACTAATAAAAGTCATAAAGAGCACTTTTCTCAGGAGGAGAAACAGTTTGGAGAACATTGTTTCAGCCTCGATTTAAGAAGTCAGTTTCTAGGAAGGCAGTCGGTCACGGCACAATGCCCTGAGCCACTCAGCACCTCGGCGACAGGGAGCTCAACCATGTAAACTAGTTTTAAATAGTATTATGTGTTTATCTTACATGTTATATACATGTGTATATATGTATAGATTTAAATGTGATTGTACCATGTTATCTGTAGCATCACCACTTTGACCCCTGGCTGTGGTTCCCTTGAGTCTTTTTGTCCAGCCCAAGGCAGAAGCACAGATGAGGGAAGGTAGAGACAGCCCTTCCTGAAGTTTTCTGAACATGTCCATCTCACTTTTTTTCCTCTTTCTTCTGCTTTTTTCTTTGTCTACCTGCTGCACTGGAGCAAATGTCTTCTGCCCCCGTAATCCTGTTCTTCCTAGGATGGAGACTGAATCATAGAGTACCACCCCGTCACCAAGCACCATTGCAAGTTCCCTGAGGCTTTGTGTCCCTGGGAACTTTGGGGCCGAGACCAAACTTTTAAGTACTTATATTTTCTTTGTACCTTGTACGGGACCTATGGGGTTGTGACTGGACCGGGAGCTGCTGCTTTGCCTGCTCGGTACACTCTGACACTGAACTGTGCATGATTCCTTGTTAGAAACACAGCATTTTACACGGAATATGCTACTAACACGATGATGCATGAAATAGTGGGCGGAGGTTTTTCTGAAGGGGGATGCAAACAGATGGTTGCTTAAAAGGTTACTTGTGTCCCTCCCACAAAAATAAGATTCCCAGAGCCCTTTAGTTTCTCACCTTAAAAGGAACCCATGATAGATAGTTACCGTAAACATTTGGTGTACGTTTTTGATGGCTTCCTTTTCAATAAGGAAGTAAACTGAACTATCTTAAACATATAAAGAAAGTATAGAAGGTACCGTGGAGAAACGAGCTTGGAGGAAGACTAAGGTTGCTAACAGTAAGGCAAGAAATCATTCTTTCAAATTAGTGCCTTGTTTGGGAAGGGGGAGCTTAACTAATAAAACCAGTTGTGGCACTACAGCCATCTCTAATCTGAGTGTGAGCGGGGAGGGTTCCATCCCACTGGACCCGCTCCGAGAAGCCCCAGCAGGAGGGCAGCCGGTGTCACCCTGAACTGTGTTTCGATGATGGAGTTACCTTCTGATTTGGTCGATTTTCTCAGAAGCCAGTGGAGCAAGTGGGCGCCATGTTAGCATGTGATCTTCCTTCTCACCCCGCAGTCCCGGGGCCAGGCTCTCCTTCAGAGCACTCACACACAAACCTGAGGCTTTCATTTCCCAAGTCACACAGTGTTACCACATCATACTGTAGGACAGGGACTCTGGGGTTGATTTTGAGCTGAGCCGAACAGCCCAGGAGATGTGCAGAACAGTGTGGTGATGTGAATCTTCATTTCTCCCACCAGCTCTACTTTACGAAGTGTTTCTACCGGATCCTCGAGACCTTCCAAAATCTGTCTGGTGTGTGGGGACGAGGCATCGGGATGCCACTACGGGGTGGTCACCTGCGGCAGCTGCAAGGTCTTCTTCAAGAGGGCCGTGGAAGGTAAATGTTCATGTGGGTGTTGCTTTATTTCCTCCTCCCGCGGCCTCCACTCGCACAGTGGGTGTGATAGCATCATTGGAAATGCCTCAAAAATGTTTTCCATTGATGTAATCTCTTAGTAATGAATACTAATAATGCTTTAGCTGCAAAAAGAAAAAAATACCTGTATATTTTTCCATGGAGCCATATTTAGTGGTCACAATTGGAAATGACGGAAGCAAAAGTTTCAGCTATTTTGCTTGCTTTGTCTCTGTTAAATTTTTTTTTTCAGTGAGACTTAGAAAAAAAATAACAGTGCGATTGTCACTTTAATTTGCATGTTCTAAAATGGCAATTTTTTAGGAGACAGACCCAGAACTTATCATCTCTGCCTTTTTTCATGACTCTGTATAAATCTTTGTGTTTGTGCAAACTAGAGCATTCATACTGTATTGGGTTCCAGTCTATAGGTAAATTGTGTTTGATCATTTTATCTACCAACGATTCAGACTCCTGGCCCCATGTAACTTGGTTTCCAAACAAGTAAATGAAATGAATTTTTTTTTGTCGGTAGTGGGGCTTGAACTTGGAGGCTGAACATGTCCCTCAGCTCTTCAGCTCAAGGAGAGCGCTCTACCACTTGAGTCTCAGCACCACTTCTGGTTTTCTGGTGGTTTATTAGAGATAAGAGTCTCATGGACTTTCCTGCCTGGGCTGGCTTTGAACTGTGATCCTCAGATCTCAGCCTACTGAATAGCTAGGATTATAGGTGTGAGCCACCAGCGCCCGGACTTGCAATGAAAATTTTGAAACTTACTATGTACAGTTAGGCTAGCTTCTACTTCTAAGTAAGTGTACTTCTTAACTGTGACTTTTTCCTTCTCTTACTTCCTTTGCTTGACAGTAATTGGTCAACATCAGATGTAAGCCAGGTGGTTTATTGAATGTGGAGAGTTTTTGCTCTTAGTGGAATTATTATTGTAAGCCAGCTGTGGAGGGACAGGTATCTCAGGAAAATCCTGCCCTATCTCTTGGTCTTTTCATGCACACTCGGTCATAAAAATGGAAATAGTGAAGCCTTAGGAGACACCATTGAACATCCTTAGTGTGTGTGTATGCATGTGTGTGCCTTGTGTAGCTGTGAGTAGTGCACATGGGTGTATGTCCATGTATTTAAATTTGCTGAGTTTATTCCTTGATCTATTATGATCTTTGAGCTCCTTCTTAGATTATAATAGCAGACAATTCCCAGTGATGGAGGGTGGAGGTTGCGGAGATGAGGGAAGTTAACGAATGCTTAAAAGAGCTCACAACACCAAGACAAGGAGACGTGGCGAGTGGGCACACAGGATGACCAGCCCAGCAACCTGAGCTGCCTAGGGCCTTATTCTCCTAAACTGGTTATTCTGAAGCATGCAGTACTTGCTCAGTGGTGGCTTTGGGGAGACTATTCGTTATTTTTTAAATTTTTGTATAAATCATATTCTTTGTATTGCTTAATGGATATATGTGTGTGTGTGTGTGTGTGTGTATACTTCTTTTCTTCTTCAACATTTAATGTAGAAACAGAACTCTTTTCCAGACTACCTCATTTGCCAAAAATGTCAGTTCATAGCCATATTCTTGCATCTTGTATGTGGAAGTTGATAGTTTTGGTTTTAAATTTGAATCGTTTATTTGCCTTGAATGTTTCAGGACTTTTTTTGGGGGGGGGTCCGGTCATGGGGCCTGAACTCTGGGCCTGGGTGCTGTCCCTCAGCTCTTCAGCTCAAGGCTAGCGCTCTACCACTTGAGCCACAGCACCACTT